TCTCTCCCCACAGCGCCTGCCAAAGGGCTGTTGGTGCCCGCACGGCCCCGTGCCCCCACCCACGGGCACAGCCCCGAGCCCGGAGGTCCCTCCTGGCAGCGCTGCCCGGTGCTGGGGTGCAGGGAGGCCGGCGATGAGACGCCCTGAGCCGGGGCAGGACTTCAGTAGCGGCTATTTCAGACGTCAGGATGAGCACTAAGGTGCCTCTCCCAATTTCATTGCCGCTACATCCAGCAAGAAGCTAATCGGCTCATCTGCCATTGCTTATTTTAAAATCCCAATGCATGTGAGAAGGTTATATTTGTTCCAGAGAAATTAAATAAAACCAACACTGTGAGAATTCTTTTTTTTTTTTTTTTGTCTAGAATTACAGCAGAGGTGTCTTTGGACAGAATTGCATATTCTCATATGAATTTATTTAACAAGTTTTTAATCTTTAAATATAGATTTAACACATTTTTTACAGGTACATATACAATATAGTTCATTTAAACTTGCAGTCAGAGAAAATTCTCTACTGTAATTTATAATAACATATACATGAAGAGCCTAGTTGAACAGCATACTTAAGGTAACATACCATGTCGTGTGCAAAGTTTCAAATGTTAAAAATCTTGAACTGTACATTCAGATTTGCAGAACTTCTCAATCTCATAAATTAATAAAAGCTTAGATTTAAAACTATGGAAGACAAAAAAGATTAAAACCATTGAATATGCAACATGTGCTATGTTTGAGACAAATATTTACACAGTTGTACCTCAAAATGTGTACTGATACCACAAGAATTGTTACCACTATAAACAGCCCCGACAGTAACTTAAGAGAATCCTACTTTCCCACCTAGCAAGCGCATTGTGACCCATTTTAAAGTAGACAGAAATAACCTTCAGTGCCTTAAAACCTCTCTGCTATGATTGCCAGTGACTGAAGAATACCGAGATCTTTCTAGGTCTTGCAGCGTTGCTCTGTTCAGACTCAGCTGGTCGTGTTTTTGAGGGGGTACGGGGGTTACCCGCAATACTGGCCACCTGAAGTGGAGAAATGCCCACCGCTGTGCGGCGGGGAAGCCCCCGGGCAACCACAGCCATCAAGTAGTTCAACAATTCCTCTGTACAAAAACAGTCACCAAAAAAACCCAAACCCAGTATGCTTTAACTTAACAACTTGGTACTGTGTCTAAGAATTCATGGTTCACAAATCAACGTCAGATCATAAAGGTCCCCCTTTAGTCCACAGTATAAAACGTTTCATTTTGACGGGACAGAGCAAATTCACCACCGCATGCACACTATTAACCCTGTTCTCAACACAGTCAGATGCTCTTCGTACACATCTGCTTAAAAGTCAAACCACCTGTACCTACGTTCTACAAAAGAACAAAACTAGACAAAGGAACACAAAATTAAATTACGAGTGTTCAATATCCTTTTTTCTTTCTCTAAAATTCAATAGCTACATTGTTGTTAAAGATGCTGAAAAGTACAGTCTTATCACAAGAACATCCTTAGTGCAAACATGGACATTTAACTTTGATTTATGGCACGTGTTCCAAAAGTACAGACATTTAATGTAAACTTCAACACTTGCTAGATACAGGTTTCAGCCTCGGGACGCTTTGGGACCCTAAGGGATTGGCGACAACCCTGAGTTGTCAGTTTGACCTGATCCAAACCTCACCGAAATCAATGGGACTGACTGCGATGGGCTGGAGTCAGACCCTAAGTGCAAAAAGAGGATCTTTAGCGTTATTGCATCTTCGCACGTGAGTCAGCCAGATGATGCTCTTACAGAACATTACATTCACATAGCTGAAGTAGATATTTAAGAAAAATCCATCCATAAAATCAATAAATCAATTAAGCGTGACATACAGCTTCTTTGCTTGGTTTCTTTTTTTTTTTTTTTTGGTTTACCAAAACTCAACTCTTTTATTTGCAACTTCAACAGTTGTCAGCTAGTAAGTAGGTAAAGCCTCCAACCTGTAGAGGAAATTTCAAGCATCTAAACAAAGTGTCAGGAAACTGTAGTGTACTTCTCTGATGAAACGTGATGGATGTCATGGAAAAACAGCAGGAAAAAATAATAAAATACTGTACTTTCCATAAGAGGAAAAAAAAGAAAGAGCAGAGAATGGCTTCCTTTATGACTATGAGAAGCTGCTTAGGACCCCAGTCCCGTTCAGTGCAGATGAAGCTGTGGAGGTCTGTGAATGTGATGAATAGTACAGGACAACTCCAACTATTGTGCTATTTCTCTGTAACACTTAGCTGAAAGCTTCCAAAGAGCATCGAAAATAGGATGCTGCTAGTTCACCCTTAATTCAAGGGGAACTAAACTTTCTCGTGTTACACAGGGCAGCATCTATAAAGTAATGAAGAACGATGTTAATATTAAAGCAATACATTGTTCCCTGTAATCATGTAACATTTGTATGACATAAAAAAATAAATAAGTGCACTCCCGCAGTTCTCCCTAAAAGCTGAACTCCCACGAGCTTCAGCGAGAGCCTTGTCTAAGGCAGGACCACAGGGTTTGACTCATTTCCATCATCTGTCACTTGATTATCGCAGTGTGGCCAGCGGATATCTTCTCTGGACTCCTTACTTCGTCAGGCTCGAAACGGTTTTTACAGCATTACAAAACAGCTGTTCTGCGAAGCGGGCTGGCATCGCAGGCTGCACAAGGAAACCCTGCTCTACGGTTCAAAGGCCAAAAAGAAATCAACCTGCATAAACGCAAAAGCCTGCGGCTGCAATCATTAAAGTGCCTGAGTAATAGTGCAAAGAGCTGCGCTGCAGCCGCAAAGCTGCAAGCGGCGTTTCAAACAGAACTTAAGACAAAACTTGGGCGTTTCGGCCAACATGCTTCCGCCAGCCTGCGGGAGCTCACGGGTTCAGCCACGTACGATACTCTCATCGGGCAGATTCCAACCACGTGCCCAGGCAGCCACGTAAAGGGTTGCCTTAAGCCCACCACGGTCGAGAGGACGATCCCCACCGCCCTGGCCAGCAGGAGCAGAGGACGTGCAAGCTGGGTCCTTCGGGCTCTACCAGCGGGTGAAACCTTTACTCAGCTTTTATTGCATGAAGAGCACAAACAGGGGATCCCCCTAAGGCTTGGGGGGGGATAACGTGACGAGTGAGGTGTTAAAACAAACTAGGAGAGGGTCTGGCGTGTAGAACGGGAGCCTGCGTCCTCCTGACACCAAGCGGGCGCGGGCGCCTGCCTGGGCGCAGAGCATCCTTCCACGCCTGCTCTGAATGCTCCTCGCCTTTGGGCTCAAGTCAAATTCTGACCTACAACTTTTCTGCTGTTTAAAAGAACTTGAAAGCTGTAGCAGTATTTTTTTTATATATATAATAAGTAAAGGCATTCATCTCTGCTTCCATTTTTCATTTGATTCCCTTTTTTTATTCAGGCTACTCTATTTCATGCTCTCTCTAAAAGAAATCAGTCTCAGGCAACCTCCATGCAGCGCGTGGAAACGGGGCGCTCGCTGTTCTCTCTGCCCAGCTTTTAAAGGTCAGGGGAAAAAAAGCTAAAAATGCTTTGGCCCCATTTTGCTCTGATGTGAAAATTCAGGAGCAAACGGCATGTTTCCCTTTGCTTGCGCCTGTTTACCACTGCTGCGAGAAAAGAAGAGCAGGGGCAGAGCTTCACCTCGATGCGAGGAGAGGCTGCGGCGCTGCTGGACGCCAGGACTGTGTCACTGAAGCGGAAACGCGTCGTGCATCTGCTCTGGGTTACGGCATGGACCCCGCTTCTGCCGTCCCCGCTCTCCGCTTGCCACGCGGGGCAGCTGAGAGGCGAGATGCCTTTTCTTCCACTGGCACAGCCGCCGTCAGTGCTGTAAATCACGGCCTTTGGCACGTTTTATCTCCTTTGCCTCCTGCCCCGCTGCAGAAGAGGAGTTGGGATTGTAACGCTGCAGCCCTCACCTTCCCCGAGACGTGCGTCTTGCACAAGGGAAGTGAAGAGATAATCTTGCACCTCCTTGTTAATTCAGGTAAAAGTCACGTCAGCTCACCAGGCAACGCCTGACCGCTTTGGCACGGCATGGGTAAATCTCAGGAGTGGCTATTTTCAGCATATTGCTTTTTCTGGGCAGAGTTCTCTCCAAACCTTTCCCATTTTGAGATCTGTTACCACCTGCGATACAAAGCTATTCCTATGGCACACACATAAAAAAATCCACCATGGACTTGCACAGGAGGCAGAATAAACCTATTCAGAAGAAAGCAGCAAGGACTAATCTCAGTAATTATAGCTAGAGGCACACCAGAAGGAAAGCTGGTTTTCAAAATGACCTCCAAGCCAGCCATCTTCCTCCCCAAAAGCCTCCTGGCTTATACCCAGGCCAAGATTTACAAAAAGTTTAATAAAGTTTCCCACGCACACCCCTTTGCAAAAGATTTGGACCAAAACACTTGCTTTTTGAAGAGTTACACGGCATTGCCAATGGTAACCTCTCATCTGTAAGGAAAACTACCCATGCAACCATGTGAGGAAAGGAAGAAGAATGATCTGTGGATTTGTGCGGCTGTTGCAAGCGCAGCTTTGCACACAGGCTGTCCCTCGGCAGGCTGGGTGCAGGAGGACGGTGGATTTACTAAGCTGGCAATGGTAAGGGAGTGGGGCATCGACCAAATACACGTCTGATAACTTCAAATGGGCAGCAAAAAGTTCCCTGCAAGTTCGTTATGATTTGTACTGGCTCAACACTGGAATAATTGGCAGGAGGGGAGCGGAACAGCTTGTAAGCGTGCAGGCATCAGCCATCCCCGGTGGGAGGTTTTTGTCAGGGCCACAGTACAAATCTACAAAAATATGTTAAGATACGGGAACCATTTCACCTACTCAGCTAAAGGCTTTGCACTGAAAAAAGCCCAAATCCCCGATTTGTATGATTTCTGTTTACGAAATGCTGTGACTGGAGATATATTTCTATTTATTGAGGGGACCTGGAGCCGAGCAGTAGCAGAGGCACCACCCGCTGCGAAGGGCCAGGGCTGCCTCTCCCCCAGCTCTGAAGCCACTCCAGCATGCTCTGAGCTCTCGGGGATCCCACACCACCTCAATCAAATTTACCCTGCTTACATGCAAAACAGCGTTTCAGCACAAGTGTCTAATAACATGGGGGGGTTACGGTGCTCCCTCCTGCCCCTACTTTGCCCTACAAGCTTGGCTGCCCAAGTCTCCCTCTGCTATACTGGAGCAAGAGCTCCATCTTCTGAAGAAGCAGAAAAGAGCCCAGTCCAGACCGCGTCCCCGAGCGGTCAGTGGTACAAAGTCACCTGCAGTATAAAATGACCAGTCCACAGAGGAAAGGGAATTGCTAAATGCAACGGTACTGTTTCAAAACCAGTTTTCAGAGTGAAAGTACATTACGGCTATGAGGACACATCACTGAAAAGCTCCAGGAATAGCTCCTGGAAGTAGCAAGAAAACATCCTACATCATCCTACAATATTGCCTGGAGTGCATGTAAAATTAGAATCATGCCTAGAGACTGCACACACGGCCAGCAATAGCGAGAGAGGACAGAGTTAACCTTCACAGGGAAAGCAGAGCCTCAGTGCTGCACCTAGACCCTGGCAAAGCATCTGGGCAGTGGTGTGAGGCTGGCAGGAGGAGCCTTCCGTGGTTTCGCCTTGCGAAATTCTCCTCAGTTTGCACTCAGCCACTTTGTAAACCAGCCTGGAGCTGCGCGTCTCCAGGCTTTGAGGGATGGGACCACTGACAAAGCAAACCAGCGTTCGGAGTTTGCCGGCGCTCTATTTTCAAGGTGCATTTATGGCCGGAGAAGCCTCCTGCACAGGCTTGTGGTCCAGGACCCGGCAAGATGCAATAACCAGACTTTGCTGGGAAGACAGCACAGAATCACAGAATCACTAAGGTTGGAAAGGACCTTCAAGATCATCAAGTCCAACCATTAATCCAGCGCCACCATGTCCCCTAAACCATGTCCTGAAGCGCCACATCCACACGTTTTTTGAAGACTTCCAGAGATGGCGACTCCACCACCTCCCTGGGCAGCCTGTTCCAATGCCTGACCACCCTCTCGGTGAAGACATTTTTCCTAATATCCAATCTAAACCTCCCCTGGTGCAACTTGAGGCCATTTCTTCTTGTCCTATCACTGGTTACTTGGGAGAAGAGGCCAACACCCTCGTCGCCACAACCCCCTTTCAGGTAGTTGTAGAGAGCGATAAGGTCTCCCCTCAGCCTCCTCTTCTCCAGACTGAACAACCCCAGGTCCCTCAGCCGCTCCTCATAAGACTTGTGCTCCAGACCCCTCACCAGCTCCGCTGCCCTTCTCTGGACACGCTCCAGCACCTCAGCATCCTTCTTGCAGTGAGGGGCCCAACACTGAACACAGGATTCGAGGTGCGAATGGTGCAAATTCAAGCACATGGCGTTGCAGGGTGGGAGCAGGCCAAGGGCAGTCCTCTCAGCTGTGCTGCTAGCCCATCTATGAGCTACCCCTTAGGTAAAGTCAGAAAACCTCCAACCTGTGAAATTTGACTGTCCTGCAACAAAGGGGGAAAAAAATATCTTCCTGTATAGGAAGGATTTCACTGAAATATACTGGAAAACCATCAAGAGCTGACCAGAATTTTAAGCCTTTCAGAAGGCTTCCTTCATATTCATGAAAACAACAAATTTTGACAAAAAGGAAGTATTTAAAAAGAAATCTACCCACAAAATTTGTTTCATATGGCCACCATAACTGGTGGATTCTTTTCCTTTTTTTTTTTTTTTTTTTTTTTTTTCTCTCCAAAATAGACTAAATCTATGTGGGTTTCCTGAGCTGCTCCCATCACAAACCCTGGTCTCCCATTTCTAGTGGACAGCATGGTGATGAGGCAACACATGGGGTGGCGATGCTGCATACATGGCAAGGGCGACAGGCTGCTCTTAAGGCATTTTCTTGTGTCATCTGTTATGCTTCCCTATCCATTTCTATGTACATTTACACCTACAAAATGAGAAATACGGTTTTTGAGACTAGAAGCTTTCTGCCGAAACCCGGTAACCTGTTCATAAACTTTATTCTAACGATGGATTAACAAGCAGGCAGCAATGAGGGCAAGAGGGAGGCTGCAGAAATGAAGTATTGCCTCGAGAGTGCTGGGGGTCAGGCCACGACGTCTTTTGCAGCAGGAGGAGATGGTGCCTAGGCACCTCCTATTCACACGGGGTTTGAGCTACAGCAGCGAGTAGGCAAAACAGTCACAGGAATCCCTGATCAGACTCCGTCTCTTCTCCCCCATCTTCTACCCAGTGCTCTTGCAAAGAAATCTACGTTTCTAAATGCTTGGTTTTAATTTACTAGTGCCTAAAGTCACAGAAATGTCTTAAGGCGTTAACAAATAAAAAAAAAGCTCACTTTACTACTTTTGCAGGCTTTTTGGAGTAGCTGCTTTCTTTTTTTCCCTGCAGAGGCATAGGCAGCCAGATTTAGTACGTCAAGTGTAATGCAAATGGCTTAAAAGACCTGACTGGAGTTACAAGATATTTCTGCTAGACGTGCTATATGATACCTGCGACTTTGGCATTCCGGAATCTGCAGTCACCAACTACTATCTGCAGACTGTGGACAGGAATCCAGCCTTCTTTTCTTCTGTTTAGGTTTTTCACCAACCTTTGAACGACAACAGCATTAGTAAAAGAAACCAATCAACCCATGAGCAGTTTGATATGGGCACACTCTACACAACTGCTGGTGCAACCAACCATTTGTTCAAACCAAGGAAGCATTTTAACAGGAACTGGGCATGCGTTTAAAGTGTTCTTCCCACCTAAATTTAGGAACCTAATTTAAAAACCCAAATTGGGAGCACAGTTGCCTTGGGCCCCTCTCTAGTCAATGGAGAGGAACAGGACTGTCCAGAGCACAAGTTATCCTGCCTGAGACCTCCAGAGACGCCAGTTTTCCTCCACTGGCTACCGATGGAGCCAAGGGCAATTACTTTCCTCACTTCTCTGCTATTGAGCTAGACTGGTAGGATGAATTTAGTCAGGGTACCATAAGTAAACTCAAGACAAGATTTAGGCAGATATGGAAATACTCATGCTCATAAATGACATCCCTCTGTCTCGCTCATGCAGTGAAATCTATGCTCACAAAAAAGTTTGATGTGAGAAATCTTTGCCTGGCACTGGCCGAAACCACCATGAAAGGTGGCGAGCATTCAGCAAAAACGAAATGCTTTACATCTTGCTTTTGCTAACAACAAACTGAATTTTGCAAAATGCAGCTGGACTAGATGATCATTGTAGGTCCCTTCCAACTGAAATATTCTATTCCATTCCATTCCATATTTCCCTTGAAGTGCAAGGGCTGTAGATGTCAGCCAGGAATCCTCCACGGGGCATTTGTGGCTGTGCATTTACAGGCTAGTGCCTGCACAAATCTGATCCAGGTTCCTGCTAATATCACCCTTCCCATATCCCGAACAAGGCATTAGCGCGCTGCTCCCTCTCCTACAGAGACCCCAGGCTGGCTGACGAGAGCTAGTCAAAATCAACCTGGAAAGACAGCCAGAAATCTCAGCCAAATTGCTGCAAAAATCAGAAGAGGGCACGCTGCCCTCCGAGACAAGGAGACTAATGGCTCAACAGGCAGGAGGCTGGGTATGGCCATTTCCCAGGCCATGCTCCCAGCCGTAAGGAGACAACCAGCTGTGAAGTGTCACCTGGCGAGCCACAGCTTTAAATACAACAGAAAGATGGTCTGCAGCCATCAACCAGTCAACACTCGTACAGCTGTTTGAGGGAGGAAAATGTCTTGCAATTACTCAATATTGCTATTAATAAGCCCAGAGGAACAAAGCCAACAGCTGAGCCGGGGTGGGCAAAGAGCTCTCACCTGAAGCATCATCTCAAGGGGGAAGAATACGGCAAGAGGAGGTTGTGGAGATGTTGGTAAAACACAACTTGCCCAGACACCCAAGGCAAGGGAAGTCCTGACATGTTTTCCCAGGCCAAGTCAGTGCGTATGGCCTCTAGTCTTGGCAAGGGAATGAATTCTCCAGCTTTCTGGAATAGTCTAAAACTTAACCAGAAGCTGCAACGTGTGTATCACCAGGCGCACGAGGTTGCACGGGCCTTGCAGGCTCTGAGAGGTAACGCAAAATAACCCTCAAATACCTACCACTGTCCCTCACCATCTTCATGTAAAAGCTGAATTTCATCCCCATTTTTCACCAGCAGGTCCTCTGATCCTCTCCTCTTGCAGTCTGCAAGGGCTTTATATTTTCCTGGAGACTGTGGTAGTGAGAAAAAAAATTATCTTATTTAGCTACATTCTATATCACACAGCTGTTATTTCTGACAGCCGCAGGGAACGTGACAGAGCCCCATCAGCTACCTTAAAATTATTTCAAGAAACTGTGGCTGCAGACATCTCATTCCGCAAAACTGAGACATGAAAAATCCGCGAGACATGGACAAGATACATCCATTACCCAGTGAAGCAAAACAAAGCGAGACGACCAAAACCGGTAGCACCGCGAGTTTTGGGACTATCGCATCTCTGTACTGACCAGCTGGTTCCCGTCCTCCTCCTCGGTGTCCGAGCAGTTGGAGAGGTACTGGTTCCCCGACCACTCCTCCAGCCCCTCACAGATCTCCAGGGACTGTGACATTCCCGGCCAGCCTGCAAGACAGCGTGCAGCTCAGGGTGGGGGTACCCCAGCACCCGCAAAGCGCTCCCCAAAGGAAGGGGAAGGGTCCATACTTCTGTGGGGCTTGTTCTGGGGGGACAGGAGCCCACTGTCCAGCATCACCGGGCTGGTCCGCTCCGAGTCGTTCTCTTCTGAGCTTATGGAAGCTCTCTGCTGCTTTCTGAATGATATATAAAAAAAAAAAAAAAAAAAAAAAAAAATCAATCTTAGTTTTATTTTATGAATGAACGCAAACTCCACGAGGTTTTGTAAAACAGGCTCCGAAATAATAACGGGGGTACTTAATGTATGTTTCTATAAAGGGCAAGGACTTCGGTGCCTGGTTTTCATTT